CTTGTCCAATTCACAGACTCAGTATGTGCTAGGGTGAAAATTAAAATTATTACCTGTCTATTAAACCCATATTCCTTTCTAATATGCTTCATTATTTTCAAGTTGAAGGAAATCATAAACAAGAATTTCTATATTTTCCCCGTGACTGTGAAGAAAAAATATTTTTCAATAAGACACATTTTAAAAGTGATAAGATTTTTGAAGTGATTGATATTGTTTAGAATATCTGCAATGGAAAAAATTTCATGTTAAAAAAAGAAAGACGGGAGGATGGGTATAGACTCCATTACCACCTATGTCCTGGTATTTCATATCGTTCATTGCAAAGTAGAGTTGAGATTGGCTACGGGCAAAAATTCATGAATTCTAATAAAAATAAAGAATAGAAAGGAGTAATCAAGCATACAGTAGGTCAAACACAAAAGTGGTAAAACAAGATTAGAGTTTATAACCACGTTCTGCCACTGATCAGAAAACCCTCTAAACCTAACATAAAGAAATGTCTCTAATTGCCAAATTTTCACAAACAAAAGCCAAATAGTCCATAGCCAGCAGACCAAACATTCAAACCTCTGGGCTAATAACATGTAAGATCTGTTTTAAGAAGAAGTTACCTCCTCAGTGAAGAGAGCTGAGGTGATTATCTATTCTTTCTCTCTTGGTGGAAGTGTTTAATGTTACTGTTGTTTTCCTATAATATATGTAACTGCTGTAATTTCAATATTGTTGTTTTGTGTATTTTTGGTATTGTAAAACTGTACCTATTCTTTTAATCCCACTCCCTGAGGTGTGGGTGCCCTGAGTTATCCAATGTCAGAGTCCACCTGAGGAGCCAGTATTGAGTATATATGAAGAGCTAGTAATCTCAGCTGGGAAAGGGTGGGGTTTTCAGTGGGTTCAGATTTGCTTCCTATTGTAATTAAGTGTAAAGTAATGGTATCCCTTAAAAATTAACAACCTACAATTTTAGTGAGAAGTACAGTGATTGTGGAGAAATTCTGAAGCAAGGAAAGATGGCTATTGGAAAAAAAACAGAGTCTCCCAGGATGATTGCAAAGACATAGAGCTGTATTAAGGCTGGACCCAGATATAAGTTTGGAACAACAGCAAACAAAACTAGCTTTACTTGTGAGAACAGAAAGTTTAATTACTGCCTAGCAGACCTACTTCCAAGATTATACATACATACATACATACATACATACATACATACATACATACATGTGTGTGTGTGTGTGTGTGTGTGTAAACTGGAGAGAAAATCATACCAGAAGAATAAAGTGAAACCACAAGGAAATGGAAGGTGAGCGATTTCACAAAGGAAAGTTATTAAATTTAAAGACAGATGACCAAAAGCTCAAAGGAGAAATGTCAGAGTCCAGATAGGAAAGTGCCTTCCCACCCAGGGTTAGGGTTACAGATCCAAGTGGCTGTACAACACAAACACAGTTCCACTCAGGATCAGAGGGAACATCCTGGGATTCAGACTCAGCAATGGTGCCAACATGAATCTACCTCGTGCCAGAGTCTGAGTAGCCTAGTCTAGCACCCAACCCAGCTAAGATTGGTCAGTGGTTCCCATGAATGAACACTGAAGAAGGGAGTTGTTAGGAGAAGGGGCTATAAAATAAATCAGAATAAGCCCTAAATATACCTGAATGATGACCAGGGATTACTATTTACTAGTACTTTTGTGATTTCTTGTAACTCTGTAACTTCTCTGATGTTTGTTAATATTGTTAATTTCTGTATTTCCTGTACTTACATGTAGTAAAAACTTTAAATATTAATGTGGTATGTGTGCTTATTTCTGTGAAAGTTGGGTTAGTTCTGCAATGAGTATGAGAAAACCGAGTGGGGTGGAGTTCAAGTGGGATGGATCTCAATATTTATAAAGGATACACCATCGAGACCATCCAAAATCCTCAAAGTATAAATATTATCACTGGCACTAGCCATTGTCTCTCATTCAGACCCTTATGCCACTTCCACCCCAAGACTGACCACAGGCCAAGTAAGTGATAAAGCCTTTCTCAAATACGGAACACAAAATGGTTGACTAAGCTAATGAGGCTGAGACACTGCAGACTGCAGTCTTATGCTACAAGATGCTTCAAAGTGACGTAGTTAAAATGCCAGCCATCTGCTAAATAACCACCTTTCCCCAGGAATGTTGGGAAAAAAAAGTCCTGATGAGACATATCAGGTATTCACTCATGCTTACATTGTTTCAATAGAAAACCTGAATGCTTTTTTGGGCTATTACTGTGTACATTCAGTTCCTCTTTTAACATTATCATCAGCAAGCTTTTCCTCACAGATTTAATTTTGAAAGTGATACCTATATAATGGTAATCAATCTTATAAACATACCCACCCTCAGCATTAAATTCTGGAAAGAACTACATTCTCAAAAATTAAAAATTTGTCAAGACATTCTCAGAGCTCAAGAGGTGATTCACTTTAGACCACTAAGTACCTTCTCCCTTCTAAGAGTTAGTACCTGCTGTAGGATCCTCATCTGGCAAGCGAACAAGTGTATAGCATATTCCTGGCTGATTGTAGGTGAGGCTGGGCGCTGGGATGCAGCACAGCACTTCATAGGAATCGGATGGTTCCATCTGCACTGTTACTTTCTCCAGCAGCTGGTCATTCAGAGTGTTGGTACAGTCAAACTGAAAAGTTAGCAACAGAAATGTTGTAAACAGTAAGAAATGTTTCCAATAAGTTGTTTCTACTCACTCATAGTCCACAGTTCTGCTCTGGAATCTACTATACTCAACACTAAGTAGCACTATAGGTCTCCTAAGATTTTTTTTCTTTTTGTATTAGCGATTGAAGGCAGGCCTTATACCTGCCAAGAATATGCTCCCAATTGTCTCTGTGAAACACAGACAGGCTTATTGTGAGTGCTTTGTGCTGAACTATCAGTGTGTTTCTCCCTGAGACTGTCTCTACATCAAGGTGTTAAAAATCTAAGTTCTGTGATCAACACACTTAGTTTACCTTGTTGTTTAAATGCTGATTTTTAAAACAATTATGCCATATGTCTATTTTTGGAACTTTTTAATTTTATATCCTTTTAGATTTTAGTTATCAAAAAGAGCCCATCAGAGGAAGAAAGTTCAATACATCTGAAAAGAAAACTCAAATTGTTGCTAAAGTCAATCCTTTATGAAAGGGACTAGAATCATAAACTAAAGCATTTATTTGGCTCCAAGTATAGCAGCTTGTATTTAAAGGCTATAAAAGAACCAAGAGTTAGTTCGTTATCTCACCTGGAATACAATATGGTCAGTAAACATGTGCTTCACACAGCGAACGAAATACTCTGTCTCTGCTTCTGTAAGCTGCACAGGCTCGGAAGACTTGAACAAGGGACCCAGGTTCACAAACTCAGGAATGGCAGCCAATTGTTCTGTTAAGTGCAAAGAGAAAGAAAGTACAATACAGTATGAAGAAGACAGGAAGAGACTTTATTAAAATGCTTTAGTTTCACAGAGTAGAAAGATGGTTTCATTTCTATGGTTTTACTAACAATTGAAGAGTCAATTTGGGGATCTCCAAGCTTCTGTGAAATAATCCTTTACGTTACCAAGTTTATATACTAGATTCCTATATGTAAGAGAGAAGAAGAAACTAAATTGCTAATTTTTTTCCTTCTTAACCAACAAAATATGCACAAGAATAACAGTCCCAAGTAGTAAATTAATAATTGGAAAGTCCATGGACACTAGGTAGTTCCAGCCATTAAAACCTATGACACAGGAAAATGTACTGAATTGAGAATTAATCAAATTGAATAAAAGCAGTGGATATTATTAATTTATAATGCCTAGGAATTAAAAATTATTGTATTCATAAAAATATACCTTGGAAAATGTCTTGCCTGGAAGGAGCCAACTTCTCTGGCTTAGGAGTCACAAGTGTGATTTCTAAAAAGACAGATATAAGCAATTAAGTGAATTTCTTTCTACTTTTAACTGACCTTGCAGAAAAAAATCAAAGTATAACTTCTAGCAGGTATCGATGACCTCATGCCCGCCCAGAAGTGAAGCCTGGCCCTCACTACCACCAGGCTGCTGCTTCCTAACTTATTACCCGGGCAGCGCCTGCCACGCATCCTTGATGCTTGCCGCCTGGCGGCTGAGCCCTTAGCCTCGCTGTAGAGACTTCTGTCGCCCTGGGTAGAGTTTATTGTTTTGATGGCTAAGCTGTTGCTGACACTGAAAATAAACTAGGCTTTGGCCTGCCCTAAAAAAAATAAAAATAAAAAAAAAATAACTTCTAGCAGATACACAGTGACAAACAGCTTCAAGTATTGTGAAATTTTGTATCAAATAATTAAAAATTTTTTTTCAACTTAGGACATATTTTTTATTATGGCTTTTGGGTAAAAACCCAAGAGGCTTAAAATGAAAATCTTAAATTAAAAAAATGTCATCTATCTTAGTACTAAAAGATCTCAAGGAATAAAAAAAAAATAGGTATTAAGAGAAAAAAAATATGCCCAGAGTGGTGGCACATTATGCCTTTAATCCCAGCACTTGGAAGATAAGGCAGGTAGATCTCTGTGAGTTCCAGGCAAGCTTTGCCTATACAGTGAGTTCCAGGACAGGGCTATGTAGAGAGACCCTGCCTCAAAAAACAAACAAAGAGAAAGAGAGAAATGATGCTATTTTAAAAAATCTTTTTCTAGTTTTATTTTTCAGGTTAGATGATATGCTAATATTTACAAGTTTTTATGAAATTACTTCTACAGAGAAAAACTAACAGAGTTAAACAGTTTTGTTACCTGACTTCTGTTCAAAGACAGGAGCCATAGCAAGAGGAATTGACTTCATATCAAAGGGTTTTTCTGAAGGCTCCAATGTATATTGGTGTAAGGCCTTTTCCATCCCTGGTATAGAGACTGTCAGACCTAGAGACAGGAAAATCTCAGCATTATAATCTATTCTCAACAATCTGTAATGGTTAAGCTTTCTAAAGAAAGAGAAACACATAACAAAAAACTATAGCCTAGTGGTTCTCAACATGTAGGGATCAAAGCACTCATTCACAGGGGTCGTCTAAGACCGTCAGAAAACACTTATTTATATTACAATTTCAAACGGTAGCAAAAGTGCAGTTATAAAGTAGCAACAAGAATAATTTATGATTGGGGTCACTACAACATGAGGAACTGTATTGAAGGGTTGCAGCATTAGGAAGCTATAGCCTGCTTAATCAAACTAAAGATTTTTATAGACGTCTACCTCATAAACTTACAAGCTGCCTTATTTCTTTCAAGGAAACATGGGAGCAAAGTATAAAAAATGTCAACAGAATGAAAGCATTTCTCAGAAAATAAAATATCTTAGCTACATGAGAACAAGAAAAGCAGAAGAAAACAAAAATGGGGCTGGGCAGTGGTGGCGCACGCCTTTAATCCCAGTACTTGGGAGGCAGGGGCAGGTGGATTTCTGAGTTCGAGGCCAGCCTGGTCTACAGAGTGAGTTCCAGGACAGCCAGAGATACACAGAAAAACCCTGTCTGGAAAAAAGAAACAAACAAAACAAAACAAAAAATGGGAACACAGCCAATTAAGAGGGAGCTTAAGAAGAACCAGGCATAAGCAATATTCTTTGGATCCTTTCATATTTTAAAGAATATCTTCTTCTATATTATTTCATAGGACTGATATTACCAAATTAGAAAACACCTTTATGAATATGAGTTTCTCTAGAAATAGAATTGGATTCAAAGATTAAAATCATTCAACTGGCTAAAGGAGTCAGTTAATATGTGAATCACCATAAAAAAAATCATTGATCATTTAACAAACAAATGTGTTACATGTCCATAATCCTGACTCTCACTGACCATTGAAGATATATGTAGCATTCAGGGCCATCTGTCTCTGCTGTAGCACGTTCAGGTAGAAGGTAGCTCGGTCCCGTACCTCGTCATCAGTATCCATCATACACCTGATCAGAAGAAATATTATAGGCATGCTTCTGTCTCTGTCTTTGTATACAGAGATGTCCAACTTTCACCATCTACCTGAAGAATGCAGCTGAGATCATCTGATATTACTTTTATGATAAGAGTTCAATAATAGCTAACATGGGCTCCTAAAAATTCTTGAACTGTTAAGAATTACTAAAGAAATGTTGCTATTTGAGAAGGCACTGAGATCACTAGGAAGAACACAATACCATGACATAATAATTTACAGTCTAATTCTGAACCTGTAACTACATCAGCCCAACAAAGACTTTAGCTTTTTGACAACTAAGAAATGGAAATGTTACACTTTCTAAGGATACAAAAAGAACACTAGCATTCAAAATCCAGACAGCTATTGTTCAAATGGCAATCTGTTTTACTTAAACTAGTCAGTCTTTGGCTAATGAGCTAATTGCTTTAGTTATAAGATACAATCACAAAATATTTGCTAAAAAGACCACCAACTTTTTTCCTTTCTTCACCAACTAACAAGTTATGGAGATCATAAAAGGCTATCTTTAGTTCTTCACACAAATCATTTCACATCTCTTTTAAATTAGTGTCTACTGTACAAATTGAGGTACATAGGTTTACCTTACTCTGTCAGTATGATTTAAAAGAAATCTAAAACTCAAATTTTACACATATATAATGACTAGAAAACAAAAACCAACCCGGAAACCAACCCGGAAACCCACTGGCCCTCTCCTAACTCTATCAGCTCTCCTCTTAGCTTTTCAGTTTATCTAACGCAGTACAAAGAGGTTTTTTACTACTTGGCTACATGGAAGTCTTATTTTCCAACAGCCAGCATTCATTCTTTTACATACCTTTGTAAGAGTACAAGGATGCTAGGCAGAAGGCTCTCATTCTGAGCCCCAAATTTAGCCAAAGCACTCACAGCAGCTGTTGTGAAACACAAGATGAAACAATGTAAACAATGGATTTTCAGAGCTAAGCAATAAACATTCAAAAACAAATCAGACACTTGTGAGGCCAAGGCAGGAAGGTTACTCAAAATTTGAGACCAGCCTAAGCTACAATGTAAGACCTTGTATTAGAAAACAAAACAGAACAAAATAAAAATACTGAAACTAAAAGCAAATTAGAGAAGCAGTTGGTATTCCATAGAAATAAAGTCTCTTGTGTTGACAGTTTCTTGATCTTACTTAGGTATAAATAGAACAGTAAAGTATCTAGCGAACTCTATACAAGAAAATTTTCCATTCTGCAAGGAAAAAGAATCATTCATATATGTGTGTGTGTGTGTGTGTGTGTGCGTGCTATGAGCTGTCTCTACCCCATGACAGTCTCAGATATCCTCTGACATGATTCAGTTCAAATTTTAAACAACTAGCACCAAAAAACTATTATTAAAATTCCTTTCATTCAACAAGGATTCAATGCTCACTTAAATTTTATCTGGAAGTGTGGCAAGAGCTGAGGGACAGAAACATAAAAGACATGGTCTCTGACCTAAGGAGTGAGGGTGCAGTAAGACAGACAGGTAAGTAAAGACTATCTTGCCTAGTAAATCTCTACTAAACTATATCCAAGATGCTAGGTAAATACAGTGATAGGGGCTTAGGTAAGACAAGGATTTGAGACACAATTGCACCTAATTTTTTAGAACAGTTAGTAGGAAAACAAATAAAAATGACCTGTGTTCTGCGCAGAAAGTTAAGTATTAGACTTGAACGAGAAAGGCAAAGTGTTGGACCCATATTAGAGAGTGAAAGTAAAAGACTGGAGATAAACTAAACACCACAAAGACCTCAAGGTTTTAAATGTTACATTATCCCACATAGGTATAGGATATATTTGTTGTTTTTTTAAGATTTTGTACAAATTATTTTTAATTGTGTTAAAGTGTATCCACTTGGGTGTGGGTATGTATACATGAGTGCAGATGCTAGGGAAGGCCAGAAATATCAGATCATCTGGGAGCTGGAGTTACAGGTGGTTGTGACCCACATAATGTTGAAGCTGGAAGCCAAATTCAGGTCCTTGGCAAGAGCAGTAAGTACTCCTAATGCTAAGTCAGCTCCAGCCCAAGTTTGTTATTTTAATGACCACTCTTCGCATTCAGATAATAAATAAATAGTATCTGTGAAATCAGAAAAAGATGAGCTAGGGATTAGAAATGAATGAAAGCCTAAACCTGTACCCAATGACATAAAGACAGGAGGATGAAGAGTCAGGAAGGAGGAAAAGTGACAGAACTGTGATAAAGAACAGAGGAAGGTTCAAAGCTGTGGCCTAAGTCTGTCTTGTGAGAGTAGGATCAAGTGAAGATTTCGGTTTGAATTAGTTTGAATTTCACATTACATTTGAGGGGTAGTGTGAACAATCATATACAGGAGTCAACAAAGCTCCAAAAAACAATCTTGAAGAATGTGAACTAAGATAAAAATATTAAGTAGTCTGATTGGCCAGCCAACTTATATGTAATTTAAAAAAGAAACAAAAACGAATTTAAAGAGGAGGGCTAAATTTTATTGAGCTGAAAAAAAAATGTACAAAAAGCACATGAAGGCAACTAGTGATGTAGTCTTTGAGTTTATGTGGAAACAAAGTATAAGGATAGGATAAGGTCAGCAGAGGATGAGAGAAAGGATCATCACAGGGGAATTTGCCGATTCCAGTGTAACAGACTAGAAAGAATCACTTAAGATAATATACGGATACATTTATACATAAATCCTACATATATTCTTACTTATGGTTTAATGAAAAAAAAATAGAGGTCCCATTATAGTATTCCTGTCACACTGAAAGGCAAGGGCTGTAGGTCTCTAATTAAAGGCAAATATCTGTGTGGAAGCTGAAACACAAAGGAAGAGCTGTGTATCTGGAACCAGGGTGTCCTCCAAGATCAAATCACAGCATCAGAGACCCTGCAACTTCATTACTACTCTCTCAAATCATCTATTTTTAAAGATCAGCAATTACATCATTAGTTATGTTCTAATGACTCACCGGCTCTGACAGCCTCATTCTCCAGGACTACCCTATTAAAAATGAATCTGATATATTTGGAGGGGACAGGAGTTCTAGGGCCCTCTTTGCCCAGTAAGTGGAGAATTTTAGTAGCCAGAACGGTGTGTTCACAGTCTTCAATGAATTCACAGAGGTGGGCTAGACCAGCTTCTTTACTCTCAGGGTTCTCTTCCACAATGCTGATTATGCAGTCCACAATGGCCTTTTTGTATTCAAAACCTCCCTGACAAAAGAGAAGATAAAACTGTCTAAAGACTTTTTTTTTTTAATTTAACCACTAACCACCACCAATGTTGTCACCATTTTAAGGATCTTTTTAAAATTTTATTTTAAAGAAGTGCTTGTATTTCAAGATTCATGTTTATAATATTAAAATTTCAACTAACTTCCTTTATTTAATATAACAATAAAGACAAAGTTTTTCACCTTCAAGTGGGAAAAATAATTAGCCATGGTAAATATAACAATTGGAATTATGTATATGTTTGAGTAGTATACAGAAATGATAAAGAAATATATTTAACACATGATAAAGAAATATGCTTAAAATACTAATGGGATGTCCTGGGTTGAGTTGGAGTGCCTGCAGGGGCAGATGAGGGGTAGACATTATTAAGGTACACTGAATATAAGTATGAAAATTTCAAAGAATAAAAAAAATAAAAATACGCTGGGCGGTGGTGGCGCACGCCTTTAATCCCAGCACTTGGGAGGCAGGTGGATTTCTGTGTTTGAGGCCAGCCTGGTCTACAGAGTGAGTTCCAGGACAGCCAGGACTACACAGAGAAACCCTGTCTTGAAAAACCAATAAATAAATAAATAAATAAATAAATAAATAAATAAATAATAAAAAATAAAAAATAAAAGTAAAAATATAAACCATGAAGAAGTGAGTTAAGAACAATAACAATAAAACACTGTGGTACTTAATAGCAGTCAAGGGAATTTACGAGAACAACTTCCTATGGTTAAAAAGTGAGGTACCACCTACATCATCTCGAAGCATGTTGGAGAGAAAGGTCATCATGACGCTGTGCTTCCGAGGGTACTTGTGACAGAGAGCACTGATTGCTTGTACGACAACCACCTGTAGAAAAGCAAACACCAGTCAAAGGAGCTGAACACAGTCCTTGTACTCAGTTAGGACTTTTCAACATCAATAAGATAGTTTGTTCTCCTCTACAGTAAGTTGTACATTTAATATGATTCCAATAAAAATAACAATAAAAATTTTATGAAAGAAGGAAGATGTATTTTGAAAAGGAAAACAAATATACAAGCTTGGAAAACAGTAAGAACAACCTCAATGGGGAGTTAACAGCTGCTAACAGGGCCAAGAAAGCTTATTAAAAACTGTGTGGCAATGGTGTATACAAACAGATAAACAAGTAGAGAAATGCAGAAGAGCTAGGACATATGGAACTTGAATAACACACGAAAGGATAAGTGTATCTGAACTAAACATGAGTGAAGTCCTCCACACTATGACGTATAAGGACTCTAACAATGACTAAAAATCAGATGGGATAGACAAAATGACTCATGAATATTACTATACAACAACAAACCAAAAAAAGTGAGCATTACAGAACCCATTCTAACACAGGAGACAAGGGAAAACTGGGAGAAAAAGTAGCAACATGTTTTATATGTTTGTATCTTTAACGTAAAAGAAGTGTTTAAATAACTGAGGAGATAAAAGACAAAATCCTGTAAAAGAAAAATGTGGTGGAAAACTGAACAGGCACTTCACAGAGTTACTAAATGAGCTTCAGTAATACAGAAGAAGGTTAGGCTGGGGAGATGGATCAATGTGCGCTTGCCAAGCAAGTGTGAGGACCCAAGTGTGGACACGGTAGTGAGGATCCGTAATCCCAGGGCTCCTCCAGTGATCTAGATGGGAGGAGGAAACAGGAGAGTTCTGGGAAGCTAGAGGACAAGTTAGCTTGGTGAATGCAGTAGCAAGCAGAATCTGCCTCAAACAAGGTAGAAGGAAAGACACCTAAGCTTGTCCTCTGGCCTTTACACATGTACTCTAGCATATACAGACCCATGCCTACACACACACTTGCATACAAACGGTATACAAACACACACACAGGGATTTAAAAAAGGAAAAGTATTTAATTTTCCTCATAGTAACAGAATTAAAACTATACATTGAAACATCATTTTCATCCAAAAGGTTGGCAAACTACAACAGCTCAACACACACACTACTGCTAAGATTATTGGAAGCAATACTTTTATACACTCCTGGAAACATTTAGCATGCTCTATGAATGATATATCTATTATATTTAGCTTTCATAACAAATATGCTTTGAAACACAGATCTAATGTTTGAAAAACACATGCCTAGGGTATCCCTTGCAGCACTATTCCTAAGTACAAAATAACTGCACATTACCAAAACAGAAGCCTTGTGTGATAAGCACTATGCATACATACATACATACATACATAATTCATACATATATACATATATACATATACATATATATAATATATAAAACTGTTGGAATATTATGTAGCTGTAAAGAAAATGAGGCATATCTCCTTCAAAAAACTTAGCATGACTTCCATTTATCTTTAGGTTAAAAAAAAAGGATGCTCTATGAATGATATATCTATTGTACCATACAAAAAGATGTACAATAAAATAAGAAACATGCATGTATCTTATATTTATAAAACGTATACTAAAGAAGATAAGTGTGCAAGCAGATAAAGTTTTACAAGGAGGTCTGGGACATAGGAGAGGAAGATATACACTTTTAAACATATTACTACTTCTTTGAATAGTATAGTGTTCTATGTAGCAAAACTAAAATAACAAAATAATCAAAATGGGAGGGGCAATACTAAAACTTTAAGCAATTGAAACAAATTAATCTATTTGTACTATAAAAGATTTATGGCAACTGTACTAAAATTAAAGGATTAACTCAAATAATATAGATACTATTCAACCACTCACTAGGAACCATTAGAGTTCTCACATGATTCACAGAGAAACCAGCAGTGGTTAACACTAGAGTACTCTTAGTTTTTTATCATTTTATCTATACCTCACAACAACTCTATGGGATTGGACTTATTATCATCTTCTCGGTATAGTCAAGGAAACTGAAGCAGCCAATCACATAACTAATAAGTCATAGAGTCAAACTTAGGGATTTAGAGGCATTTCCTTAAACATACAGATTCCTCCAATATTAACTGCTTTGATATGACATTTAAAATGAACCTTGTCTCCAGGAAAAAGACATCAGGATGGGTATGGCCCTCATGCCTCACTGGACAATGACAGGGGGACTGGAGCCATTACAAGGTCCCCTTCAATTACTGGAGGTCAGGCCTCTATCCCTGCCTTCGCAAGATTAGAATCACCACAGCCCTTCTATACTTAGAGAAGGGAGATGTCAGGGGCAGCCCTGCTTACACACTGAAGGCCTAAAATCAGCAACAGGTCTGTCATATATGCATGCTAACACAAAGTCTTGGGTCTCTGTGGATAAACACTGAAACAGATGGCTATAAGCTATTGTAAACAGGCAGCTTTGGTAGAAATTTACCAGCCTGAGTAGTCACAGACCTTGTAAATAGGTAGCCATGGTGGATAGTACCAACTTAGATAAGGACAAGTGAATCATAGGCAGAGTCATAGTGACCTGTCCCCTGAACCTTCACCCAGCTGATACCCTGTTCTGAAAGATATCTGTACACCCCCCCAACACCCACGCTCCAGTGTCATCCCCTTCCCCACGTCCTGCCTTTTTGTGTTTATAACCCCTGTGTGAATAAGTAAAAATTACAATTTGATTTAAAAAAATAAATTAATTAAAAAAATAAACATCTAGGTAAACGTTAAAAAATAAATAAAATAAAATGAACCTTGTACATGTACTTCTGTTGGGAATATACTTAGGAGTAAAACTGGGCATGTGTTCATTCAGCTTTAGTAAATACTGTCTGTTTTTCACAATGACTGTACTTGTATTTCCACTTAACATATGCTAGCTTGTGTCTGCTTCATCTTCATCAAGGTAGGGAGTGTCCAAGAGACTTCCAACACAATAGATGTCATTGCTATTGCCCTTGATTGCTTCCTGAAACTTGAAGGTAAGATTCTATTGTTGAAGATACCACACACTTTGGATGCCAGGCTCCCATCCTTCTTTTAGCTAATCTGTGGCTTCAATAGAGGGATCGATGTTTGTTTAACAAAAGCAATTTTTAGGTATATGTTTTATTTATGGTAGTTTTGTCAGATTAAATGTTTGTTTTGATGAAGGAAATCAGGTTAATTTAAGACTGACTCTGAAGATAACAAAGTTGACCCTTTATCTCAAGTTTCTATCTTCTGGGGCATAGGGAATATAAAGAACTTTTATTAGCCATAAGATTCAGTAAGACGACGTGCAGGAAATCCATGGGCTTAGCAGGGATGTTCTTCTTAGAAGCCATCTTAGTCTGTGTTTCTTCAAAGTTGGTCTGAATCTACTTCTTAGGGTGCCACCTGCATTTTCTTTTTAGATTCATCAATTTAAAAGAATGAGGCTAGGAGGAAAATATGTGGAAAGGATGGGCCTTTAAAAGATAAAAAAGGAAAGGCAATATTAACTGGCCAGTCAAGATGAGCCCACTGGTGCAGCAGTGGCAAGTCCAAGTTGCCATGGGGATAACCAACCATTTTCTAATTAGATTTGCATCCTAGAAACTGTGCCTATGTCCATATACACTGCTGTGAGCTGTGCTCAGAGAAACTTCTTAATGTAGCGACTGGCATGACTGCAGACAATGCATAACTACTTAAGTTACTGGGAATAAATGGCTGTTGACTATACAGCCCCCTTAAAGGTGCGTGCACATGCACAGACACATACATACAGAGAGACACCTTTTACTACAGGGGACATGTGGAAGAAGGGGAAAAGAATGTCAGGACAGGAGAGAGTGGTGTGGAATGCTGACGTCAGGTTTGACAGGACTGTTGGACTGTTGAACTCATAGCAGCTGTTATCTGCACAAGATTGGGCCCATCACTACCTTGTCATGAAAAACAGAGAGGCTCATGGGGTTCTACCCATCTTTGAAGATTTAGTCACAATTAATGGTTGACAGTGGAGGGTGAGAAACTTTTTTCAGTGGTGTAGCCACTGGTAAGATGTTCCTGTTCCTGTAAATAACCTTAAAGAAACTCACTGGGAAGCACCCCTCCATAGATACACACATGTTCAATATGAAAGTAGAACGGAGGACAGTTGGGGAAAGGAAGCAGGCTAGTATGAAGTAGAGGAAGGCAAAGAGTATACTGGTATGAAAATGATTCTGTACATACTGTATGAAATTTGTACATATGTATTTGCTAAGATAAACCAACAAACTGCAATGACAAAAATAGATGAAGGAAAGGGAGATGAAAGTTAACAACAGGCTAGTGCCAAGATGAGGGGACCTAACACCCCCAATTATCTCATATCCAACCCTCCAGGACTTAATGTGTCTGCTATTCTGAGGATTTTCCTATTTTCACATTTATAGTATAAATATGATTTCTGCCTGAACCGTTATATTCTTCAGCATCAATACTTTATCCTATTTGCATGGGATGTGGGATGGTATCTGTAATGGCTACTTTGTGCTGAGTAGAGGTAAGCTGGGGATTCAGGGAATAGAAAATAAATATAAATTGTTTACTAGGTCTAGTTTGTCCAATTTATTTTATGTCTTATTTTTAAAAGTGCGTGTGTGTGCATGCATGTGCACAGGCACACACAGACACTCATAATCACTCCATCAAGAAATCATTCGCAGGCAGGACAAATCATGTTAAGGGCACTGGATTGTCCCTTCAAGCAAGAAAGACTTGAGTCACTTTGTAGAAGCAGAACTGCGGCAGAGATGACCTGCCTCACCTTGAACAAGAATGGTAAAGTATGTATGTGTACATACATCTATGTATGTCTGCTTTATACTGCGTCATAAAGATGTCTTTATGGTTTTTTGAAACTATTTATTCTTTTGCTTTGTACAATCAAATCTTTAATCCAGACAGAATTTCTTTCTTTCTGTGATGTGAGTTAGATGGTTAAAATTTACTTTTTCCCTCTATAATTATTTAGTTGATGAACTGATAGTTTAATAACATTTTATCGTATTCAACCCAGTATCACAGATGTCAGAAAAAAGTCAACAAGACATGGAAACAAAAAGAAAGATTTTAAACAGATCTATTAAAAATGATATAAACATTAAATGTTTGATGGCAGATGAAGACACAGAACGGTAAACTGAGGAAGTGCATTTCAAATTAGAAAATGCAAGCCAGGTGTCTTGGTACATGCCTTTAATCCCAGCACTATGGAGGCAGAGGCAGGAGGATCTCTGAATTTGAGGCCTTTCTGTTCTAATACAGGGAGTTACAGGACAGCTAGGGCTACGCAGAAAAACCTTGATTCAAAAAACCAAAAATAAATAAATACAAAGTAAAATTTAGAAGATACAGGTTTGGGTCTCAGTTGTGCTGCTAATATGGTGTGATCTATGTCGGTCATCTTTCAACCTCAATTGACCCCACCCCACCCCCATAAAAAACACAAAGAGCAGCGTGAATAGTAGTAATTTTTATTAGTTTATCTAAGAGAACAACAAATCTCATGTACAATTATAGTTATACAGATTTCTAACAGGTACTTAGAAGTTAGAAGCTGCTTTTGCTCAAAATCATTGACTTGGGCCCACAAGGTAACTAAAAGCAAGATAAAAGCCTGGAATCTGCCTTATTTCATATCTGTCTCCTTTAACTTTGGGTCAGCCACCTGCTTAATTTGCACAGTGGCATGTTAATCAACTCAGAAAGTATAGAGCCCGTGATACCTAACTGTTCTGATCCCCTTCAAGGCTAAAGATACAAAGGTAACAGTAATTGAGGCATCTCATTACCAACTTCGTAAGTTCCCATTCCACACTTCCAAAAAGGGTCTTAAAGGTTTCCAGTCTTGTCCTGAATCTGTAGTCATCTTGGATTGAAGAAACAGAAGAGCCTCAAAGACAGGTCACTACATTGTGAAATGATTCTCAGGCAGAACAATCACGTTATGAGAACTGGCTTATCCCCTCAAGCATTAATGGTCTCTTTGAACCATTTCATCTACAGATTGAGACAACAACCAACCCCATGTAGTCACACTGACTTAATCTCCTTTTTCTGCTTTTTATGATTAATCCCGTCTTTGACATACTGGGACAGGTGGCTAAGTCTCCTTTGAGGGGACTTCCAGTTGCACTGAAACACTAATAGCAAATTTGTATTGCTCACTGTTTGGTGATATGGTATTTGATATAATCAGGTTTTAGGATGCATCCTTGATTCATCAAGCTACTCAACAATATTTATTTCATGTCTTTATTTCCTTCCCCAAACCATGCATGTATATACAAGTTTCCTTTAGAAGGCACTAAAGAATGGGATTGTTTTTTGAGGTAAGAGTCTTGTTATTCACTCAGGATATCCTGGAACTTGTATGTAGCTCAGGCTGGCCATAACTCATGATGTTTCTGCCCTAGTTTTCCACATCCTAGGATTACAGGCACACAGCACCATTCTACACTTATATCCTATTCTCATAGGAGTTGAAAGCTATGATGGTTTTGAAGTTTTAAACAATTGTAAAGAATAAAAACAAAGGCTATATAAAAAGATCGTTTCAGGAGCCCAGATCATTTAAAGCATGTATTTTATGGTCCTTTAGAGAAGTTTGCCAACTTCCACTGTAAAACATTAGTCTTACCAATATATTTTCCCTACTGTTCCAGTTTATTTTTACAAACAGCTGCAAAACAATTTTTATGCTACCCCGAAGTTTTAAAATATCTACTTTTGTTTACTTTTTCAGTCTAGAGCATGTTGAGTAGAGAGCAGTGGTCCCATGTGCTACCTGGCTGAGTACTAGAGAGAACAACACAGACATCTTCCTCATTCTTACACAAAGACTTACCACCGCCCTTTGGTCATTTCCAGCACACTGTCACTGGCTCTACTCAGCACTTTGTTACAAGTGCTAGCTGTTTTAATAAGGCAAGGAAAAAAAAAAAAAGGAAAGGTCTTTGGATTCAAAACAAGGAAGCCTCTTCATTTCCAACAAGGAGAGGAAGTCTTTTCAACTAATTCTCATAACTCAGTACGAGTGCAGGGAAACACTGAACTTATCACACAAACATTAATCAAATGGTTACAACCTAAAATGTAAAAGCTAAAGTCATAAAACATTGAAAATAAAACACAACCTTTACAACTTAGAGAGATAAGCTATTTATGTAGGATAAAGATTATGTAGAATGAGAGCATAGACTTCATAAAAATTAAGACCTTCTCAAAAGACACTGCTGAGGCAAGCTATAGACCAAGCAAAGCTTGTTTAAATTCTCACCTTGAACTCATCTGAGATTTCAGACACAAAAGAAGATATCTGCTTCATAAGTCTGTCCACACTGCCCTCACTTCCTGTTTTGAGCAATGTTGTAATGGCCAGGGTAGCAATGCTTCTGTTTGAGTCTGTGATTAAGTTTTCTAAGTCCAGATTGCAGGCAGTAACAGCAGAGGGGTGCTTCATTGCCACCTGTAAAAAGTAGCATGAAAAAATAAAAAACAAAACAAAAAACCAGAAACACATTGTTGTTAATAAAGGCCAGAACCTGAGTTTTAATGAAGGTAAGTAACAATCTGAAGGGGACAGTAGAGGTCAGAAGTAATCATTTTAGGTCAGGTGTGGTGGATGCCTATATCCATATAACCTTTATTTTATAACAGTATCAGTCCCTTTTATTGTAGGTGGCATCTCCTTATAGGTTATATGTTCACAAGTATCTATTCTACTACACATTAGAAACTTTAAGAAAAAGATTTGGTAAATGCTGATCAACAAAGACTTAATGTCATTTAGAAATCAATTCTGCAATTAAACAAACTCCTGCCAAACTGGATTACCCACAGTTGCTAAAATATGCCTGTCATTCTATATCTATGTTATTTTGTCTTTCTGTCTGTCTATCTTACATTGGGCCAACCCAAAATTCTGAAAATGTGAAAATACTCTGCAAATCATTGTCAGTAAAACTCATTCAACAAGAAAAGATGACTCAGACTAATGAAAACGTCTCTATCCATACAGCAACAAGTTTTATGTTTTGTGCAGAAATCTTTGTGTATTTTAATGGTTGGGCGCTGCTTCAGGCCCACTGAAGTTAATATATAAGAGATAGCATCACAAACACATGAATTCTAAGACACAACTGGTTTCAACATTCGAGACAAGGAATTGGTAAAACTGCTCAACTGCTGCACTGGTTTGTATGATTTTCGTGGCTATAAGCATAGGTAGTATGACTGGAGTGACTAAGAAACTGAATTCCTTATTTAATCTTAATTAAGTGGACACTTGTGAATGGCCTCCATATTGAACAGTCTTAACATTTGAACATAAAGAAAGTACTCAAATGTCAGAAATAAATTATCTTCCATGGAGTTAGAGTGAGGACTGAAGGAGCTGGAAGGGTTTGTGGCACCATGAGGAGAGCAACAATACCAACCAACCACAGCTCCCAGGGTCCTAACCACCAGCCTGGGAGCACTTAGGGAGGGATCCAGGGCTTCAGCTGAATATGTAATATGCCCACCTGCCGGGCACAGGTAGAAGATGAGATCCTTGACCTCATGAAGGCTGGACGCCCCAGGGGGTGGGAATTTTGAGGGTGGGGAAGTGGGAGTGGGGGGGGGTAGGTGGGGGTTACATCCACGGAGAAGAAGGAGGAGGGGTAAGGGGATGGGGGGTTCCCGGGTGGGTGGGAGATGGGGTAAGGGGACAACATATGAAATGTAAATAAAATATCCAATAAAAAAAATGCAAAAAAAAATTTCCTTCAAATGCACAGCACACTGAAAAGGAAAAAAAAAATTATCTTCCATGGACTAACCGTATAAACAGCCACGACTAAGGCCACAAGTACAAACAAGGTACTACAGATATGAGGCCCATAGGTTATATATTCTAAGCTTGAAGAGAAAGCCAAATGCTTTGTATTTCATGTTTCTGAACTAAATATACATGTCTATAGTTAATCAAAGGGATACCTACTTTGTTGAGGGTCCTCACAGCTGCATATCTCAAGGCTGGTTTAGGAGAGCTACAGAAAAGTTGAAGAACTGGAAAAAGAGAAACAGAAAAATCACTGTGGATTCTGTGATAGATAGATGAAAATTATAGTGTGTAATAATCATGTTCATTCTGTGTATCAGGAAGTTAATCTCTGCATCAAAACTCCATGTGAACAACAGTATCATCAAAAATAGAAAATAAAGCACTTTTTGTTCAGCTATAAAAACTTTAATAGAAAACAAAGTTTGCATTTTTCCTCTAAAAATTAATATCCCAATTAATATTTGCATTCAAATAAGAGAAATAGTGCTAGTTATAAGAGCAAATGTATTTTCTAAACATTTCTAAACAAGAAAGCTGAAATCATTAGCAAGCACCTTTACTCACTGAGCAATCTTGGCCCTAAATGCCACTCTTAATACCCGCCTCTGCAAGCCCACTCTACAATACTCTGCAAGCCCACTGATTTCAAAAATGCAAGAGCATAAATGAAGGACAGCTATCAAACACAACGTACCTGAGACAGCAGGTGCCAGCTCTCTTGCAGTACAGTTAGGAAGATGAATAATGGCAGAAGCAGCTTCATAAATAACCATTTCGTGTTTATTTCGCAAGCAGCTCTCAATGAAATCAAAGAGTGGACTTTCATGACTGTCAATAGATGTACACAGACCATGTTAACATATCAAATAGCAGGGTAATAATCACAATGGTTAAAAGTACTGAGATAAAAATGGTTTAAGAGATTGAGATATACTTTTGGAACACTGGATAAAAGACCACTGAAAATTCACTCTTTAAAAAGCAATAAAAAAATTGTCAAAACTATTTGTTTTTTGTTTTTGTTTTTTTTGGAACTTTTAAATTTAAATTTAACCAAGGCCTTGTAAGTGAACAGTTACTGAAGAAAACCATGGATCTCGGTTAAGAATGGTGAGCTTTCTGGTGGATTCCTAATTTCTACCCCTCCTTCCTAGATCACTGTAGCTCTGGAAATGTCAGCAGCATTACAGAATTAGTTTAATTTCAGAAAGTCAATTATGTTACATATCACATTTAAAGATGTTAAATCTGAAAAAAACATGCAAAAATTGAAAACTACGTAATTATTCTTCTAACCAAAAATCACAAGACATGTAAATAAACAGTAAAATAAAATACTGCCCAAATACAAAAGAGAAAGGTGGTCACCAGCAATTATTCCTGAGGAAGCCTAGACATTAGACTTACTAGACAAACACTTTGAATCAACTAATACAAACATGTTCAAAGAACTAAAGGGAACTACATAAGTATGAGAGATTATAACTAATTTTGAAGAAAGTAAATAAAAGCCAGAGATTTGGAAAAAGCAACACTGGAATGAAAGATTAATCAAGGAGGTTCAATTGCCAGCAAACTGAGATAACCAGCAAAAGGAAATAAACACAAGCAGGGAGAAATGAACAAAGTCTGGAGACCTGCACAGCATGAACATGCGTGTCAATTCCACAGACTAAGAATCCTACAAGGAAAGAGACAAGGTGGAAACTATGACTGAAAACCTCTACACTGATTAATCAAAGCCAAATCTACATGCCAGAGAAGCTCAACAAATCACAAGCAGGATTAAATATACAGAAATACAATGTTGTTGAAATATTAAGTAAATAAGTAGTCAGAAGAATTCAGACAGCAACAAGGTAAAAACAAACAAACGCATCACACTTCATAGAAATCAACAGACTTATACAATGAATGGCTGATTTGGGGGAGTTAACACTATGTGCAGCACTGACTCACTGCCACCTCCCTTACTAGGCCTAGATTTAGAGGACACAGGAAGAAGCATCTAACTCTTCCTTATTTTATTCATTCTTTCTGTCACTTTTCTTAATTTTACTCTTTATAATATTTCATGTCTTTATATTTTTCTTGTTCTGATATTTTAGTATTTTATTTCCATCTTTTTGATTCTATTCCTCTTACCTTTTAGATAGTTTTTTCTATATTTTGTAATCTGAAATATTTTTCTAATGCTGCTGTCTGTTCATCTCAAATCCTGTCCCTTTTTCATTAAATCTTGTTCATTCTTTAAGGAGAAAACCCCCTCCTTTACTTCATTCATCATTAATTTTACCTTTATTAATTTTTAAATTCATTATTTTATTATACATTATTTTTACCACTTTCTTTTCTATTGTCGCTTAAGATGTAGTAATAAGTGACTTTAATATTTTTCCTTTTTTTCAATAATTTATTTTTTTCACTTTACATCCTGATCACAGACCCCTTTCCTCTTCTCCTCCTAGTCTTCCCTTTATAAAGCCCTCCCCTCTTTACCCTCTCCCCTTCTCAGAGGAGAAGGGGAAACCCCCTTGGGTACTACCACACCCCTGGGTATTTTTTAAAGATTTACTTTACTTTAAATTATGCATATGTGCATGGCCATGTGCATATGAATATAGGCATGCAGAGGTCAGAGGCACTGGATCCCCTGGAAGCAGACAGGTAGCTGTGAGCTGCCTGACATGATGCTGGGGACCAAACTCTTCTGGAAGAGCAGCATCCATGATCTGAACTAGTAGGCTATCTCTCTAGCCCCTTTAAATGTATTTTAATACATTGTCTATTTTGGTGTTAATGCTATTATCACAGCTCTCTGTCCTCTGTGAATGGAGTCCTTAAGAGAAGGCTGCTTATTACTAAGAGCTCACTAAAAAGGAACTGCCATCTCAGCAGATGGATTACCTGAATCATAAATATGAAAACACAAAGCAGTGAGCTTCTCTAAAAGTTTGCAACACTTTAATAATTGAACCTAAAGATACTGAAATGGTTAAAAAGTCAGAAGAAATATTTTTAAATTCTGATTTAAAATATGATCAATGAGGGGCTACTGACATGGCATTGTGAGTAAGAGCTCTTGTTCTGCAAGCACGAGGACCTGAGTTGGAAGCCTCAGCACCCACATAAAAACCCACATAAAAACTCAAGCATGCTGCACATATCAGGACTGGGGAACAGAGACACTTGGGAGTTTCTGGCTCAGTGAAAGATCTTGTCTCAAGGAAGTAAGGCAAAGAGTGATAGAGGGAGACGTCTGACATCTTGCTCTTAGCTTTTGGATACATGCTCACAACCTCATATTCATGTGCTTGCAAGACAGACAGACAGACAGACAGACACACACACAGAGAAAGAGAGAGAGAAAGAGAGATTAATAAGAAGGTTAAAATAAGAGATGAGTGAATATGTCAATATGATATCTGTACAAAAAAATTCAGCAATTTGGACTAGAAATTCAGTAACTTGAATAAAAAATTCAGCCAAAGAAAAATCTAAAAATAAAAACCTCAGTCAAATAGAAACTCTTACTAGAAAGTATCAGCAACAGAGTAGACCAGGTATGAGAAAAGCTATCAGGAGTGGGTAACAAGTAGGGAAATCTATATTTACATAACAAAAAACAAAATCCAGAAATAATGAGAATAACATTGAAGACCCATGGTGCATTATTAAGAGACCAAGCCAACCAATCTAGTGTGCAGAAGGAACTGAAAAGAACAGACTAAAGTGACTGAAAATTTATTCAGAAAAGTTACAGCAAAACACTTCTCAAATCTAGAAAAAGTCATGGACATGCCATATGAGGCAGAGAGAACCCCAAATAGAGCCAGATAAACACTTTTATGCATCATAAAATTCCAAAAGCATAGAACATAATACTGAAAATTTCAAGAAAGACATGCAGTGTTACTTAAAAAGGGAAACTCATCAAAACAATAGGTTAGGTCATAAAAGAACTCCAGAAGGCCAAGAGAGATAGACTGATGTATTTCAAGCTTCGAAACAAAACCCAGTACTAACCCAGACAATAATTAATATCCAGGGAAGTTACCCTTTAAAAGTGAAGCAGAAATAAAGACTTCTCAGAAGTATAAATTAAAGCAAGTCATAACCATTATACTAGCACTGCTGAATATACTTAAAGAAATACTGCAAAAAAGAAAGAAAAGAAGAAAGAGAGAAAGAGAAAGAAAGAAAGAGAGGGAGAAATAGAGAAAGAAAGAAGGAAGGAAGGAAAGAAATAAAGAAATAAAGAAAGAAAGAAAGAAAGAAAGAAAGAAAGAAAGAAAGAGAGGGAGAGAAAGATACTGCATACAGCAGAGGAAGAAACACATACACAAATATGAAAGCCTAAGAAAGAACAAGTTTCATTAACAGAATAAATGGCGGAGAATAGGAAGGAATCAAACACAATTAGTTCTGTAAACCAGAAAATGTATAAAGATGGGGAAAGTTAGCATATATCTCTCAATAATATTAAATTTAAAGTATTAACTTGGAACATAGCTCAACTGAATTGATTAAAAGGAAAGATCCAACTGTTTGCTGTCTATAAGAAACTTACTGGCAAAAGCTGAAAGAGAAAAAATGGAAAATTATATTCCAAGTAAGTAGAATGCAAAAACAAGCTAGAATAGCTATACTCACACCTGACAAAGCAGACTTCACACCAAATTTAACCTTAGAAATAAAGACAATCATGTCATATTAATAAAGAAATAACTATTAAGAATCTATCATGATTATAAATATGTTGGCGTCAAATGCTGATGCACCTGATTTCACAAAACCCAACTAGACATGAAGGGATAAGACAAGTCAGATATAACAATGATGGACACTTATTTTAAAAATCTCACTCCAGCTGAGTGTGCTATTGCATGCCTTTAATCTCAGCACTTGGGAGGCAGAAGCAGGTGGATCTCTGTTGAGTTGAGGCCAGACTGGTCTACATAAGGACTTCCAAGAACAGCCAGGGCTATACAGAGAGACCCTGCCTCAAAGAGAAAAAAAATCTCATTCTCATTAATGGACAGCTATGTCATTCAGCATGCCCCAACCCCACTCCCCAGAAGAAAGTTGAGTTCAACTACACTGTAAAATAAATGGATTTAACTGACATTTTCATCTATGGAATACATACTCTTTTCAGCAGTCTATAAAACTTTCTCTAAAGTAGATCACATTTTAGATAATAAAACAAGTTTTAACAAACACAGAAAGAGAGAGAATATGAATGAGAATATGAATATTTCTTAGGGGCTAGAGAAATGGCTCAGTGGTCAAGTTCATGTCAAATAACTCATAGACATTTCTAATTCTAGTCCCAAGAGATTCAACAGCTTCTTCTGGGATCTATGTGCAGTTGGACATACATGTGCACATATATACCCACATACATATAAATGAAATAAAATACATCTTTAAAAAATAATTTCCTATTCACCTGACTTTGAGTTAACTTTGGTTTTATCTGTCTAGAATCATTAAAAACTCAAGTTAGACACCAACAACCCAAATAACCCAATTAAAAAATGGGGTACAGAGCTGAACAGAGAATGCACAACAGAGGACTCTCGAATGGTGCAGAGCATGTAAAGAAATGTTCAACATCCTTAGTCATCAGGGAACTGCAAATTAAAACAACCCTGGAAGTCCATCTCACAATGGCTAAGATCAAAACCTCAAGTGACAGTGAAAGGACACCATAAACCCCATTTGACCTCTTCAGGATCCCACTTATCTCCATTTAAAGACCAGGCCTGATTTTTAAAAAAAGGCCGTAAGGGACCAGCCTCAGGAATAGACCATAAGTTCAGACA